AGGGAGGCCACCCTGTGGCATTTCTATTAAAAAAGATAAAGTACTGGGAAACAGAATGGGAAACACCCGGGCCTGGCTTATTGTTATCAAAGTATAGCCTTCAAAAGTTAAAAACAGGACTCTTCTGCAAAAATAAAATAAAAGCCGAACACCTGTCAACCCATTTCTTTTAACCCTTCAGTGAGGGGACCCCGAGGGATGGTAAAGCCAAAGCATTTGTAGTCACTGAAACAGTGTTGCAAAGTCAGACATGGTGCTTAATATCCTATGGGGCCATAAAACTGTCATCTCTGGGGGGTTCTATCTCTTACTGGTTACAGATGACTTACAGTGTAGCCCTTTAACTTGACATCTGACTGCCCTGGAGTCTGGGCCCTAATAGAAATAGCAAATTGATCATAGGGATGTTTCACCGGAGCCGGGGTGGCAAACCTCTTCAGCCCATTGCCTGCTTTTGCAAATAAAGTTTTATTGGACACAGACATACCCGGGTCCTGCGTCTTCTCTGGGGCTACTTTCACACTGCAGTAAGCAGAGACTGGTTGTAACAGAGACCGTATAGCCAGATGGCCCCTTGTGACCCTGTCTTTCGAAAAAGTTGGCTGCCTCTTATGCTGTGGGATGAAAATCATTCTCAGGTGGGTCCCGTTAAGCCAGGCTCCAGCGTTAGACGGGAAAAGTCCACGCCTCTGGTTTTGTTTGCAAGTGTTGGATAATTTTTCTTAGCATTGTCTAGGCCGGAAGGCTTATGTGTTTAGGAAGTTTTTGTTAGGGGTTTGTGGATGCCTCTTTTGAACTGCAGGGCTGACCTTCAGACACGGCCCCAGAGCGGGAAGTAGGCCCCTTCCTGTTCTCACATGTACTTTCCCAGAGGGTGGGGTCTTTGTAGTCCTTCATACTTGTCTGCCTTGTAGATTGCTTCCCGCCAGTGGAGTGTCCACCCTTGGGTCTCTGCAGACAGATCATTAACAAGGGTGATGAAGGTAATTATAATACCCATAACAGCTAAGCTAATGTATATCAAACCTTTACATCAACCAAAAAAAAAAAAAAAAATCCACCGCTTTACCTACATTATCTTGTTTAGTGGTGCGAAGGAGTTAGGGGATTGCTATCCCCACTTTATAGACAAAAACACCGAGGCTGCTGTTGGTTCCGTAAAGAAATCTTTATGGTGTGCCTGTGGGTCAGCTGGCACTGTGTCGCCAAAGCTAAATGCATGTCCCCTCTGCCCTCAACTGTGGGTGGCTGTGGTGATTCTTTAGACCCAGGAATATCAGATTCTGAGCCCAAAGGCTGAGGTTCCAGTTTGGACCCTTCTCCTCCTCAGCTGGCTAGCTTCTCGCCCCTCTCAATGGAGATAGTGACTTCCCTCCCTTCCTGCTGGTAAGTGAGAATCCAGTGGGTGCTATGTAACCCCTAAAAAACCCACACAGACATTAGTAGGTCCTCTCCACCCCAACCCCTCCATCCCGCTCCTGTTAGAGCCTCTTAATTCTTTCTGGGTCTGTGTAAAGAAAATCACAATTTGCATCTATGTATAGATGCTCCAAATTTTGCATGTCATTTTTTTTCATGGAATTCCTGCATCTGGGGCTCTTTGGGTGAATTCTTAAGCCAGTGGCTAAAGATCAGGGACTTGGAACTGCGGTAAGAAATGCAATAGATATAGTAGAACCTATACTAATGTATAATGGAAATGTGAGAAGATAATGCGTTAGAACATGGTTTGAGCTGGAGTGGGCGGTTGGGAGGTCAGGGCAGGTCTTTCTAATATGTTGCGGCCTGGATACATCATTAAGGCGTTTCTTTTTATTCTCTAAGCCTCTGCTGTCCAGTGCAAGAGCCAGCAGCCACCTGTGGCTGTTAAAATTAAAACTGAAATGCAATGAAGAGTTCCGTTCTTCAGAAGAAAATGGAACCCTGTGCACTCTTGGTAGGAATGTGAGATGGTGCCGCCGCTGTGCAAAACAGTACGATGGGTCCTCAGAAAATTAAAACCTGAACCACCGTATGATTCACCAGTTCTGCTTCTGGGGATATGTGTAAATGACTTGAAGGCAGAGTCTTGAAGGGATATTTGCACACCTGGGTTCACAGCAGCATGATTCACAGGAGCCAACGGTGGAAGCAACTCAAATGCCCATGGATGGGTGGATGGATGGATGGATGGATGATGGATGG